CTCTTTACTACAATTGCTTGTATGTGTATATGCACTCTTTATAATTGTCAGGGATCTGGGTCTGAGGGATCCAGGGTCCTTGAGCAGTGTGGACTCATTATCATTATTATTATTATTATTGTGTGTTTTAGCTGCACTGAGCTGCCGGCTGTGTCCCAAGTTGTAGGAATAGGCAGGTGTATGTTGGGATGTTTGTTTGTCTGCGGTTGGCGGTGTTTCCTGTAGGCTGGGTGACAGGCACCTGCAGGCCTGGTGGGTATGGCCCTGGTAGGGGGCTGGCCACACCTGAAGACCATGCCATGCACCTGCTGCTGATGAGGCTCGTAGGGGGAGCTATTTAAGAGTATGATGGAGCTCCCTCTGGCGTGGGATTATTGCGTGAGACTTCAAGTCAGTCTTCAAGTCAGTGTTGAAGACTAGTGATGTGCTGTCTTGATGGCTGCTTCTATTGTGTCTCAGGAGGAGCGCAGAACGCCAGATAGCAGTAAGCATGGGGAATGCAGAGACACGGGAGTGGAGAGCACAGAACACGGATGTTTTGGGAGAAGACACGACACGGGAGTCAGGGGAGCGCATGGGGATTTATTCTGTGGATTATTTACTGCACTATAAATAAACGCACTGTTCAGCATAAGGAGTCCCGCATTTGGGTCCTCATTCCCCACTTCCCTGACTGTGACAGTAATTATTTATTTATTTTCTCCTTCTGTTCTCCCTCTTTTTTAAATACCAGCTTTACCACAGAAGAGAGTTGAATACATCCATTATTTTCTATCCTATTCTGTCCTTGTCTTGTTTTTTAAAATAATATTAAAATACAAATATTAACAATGATATGATTCTTTTTTCTGTGATAATGAATTTTTTAAAAGACGTAACGTAAACTTCACGAAAAGACAACCTCAAATGTTTTACTGAGTTTTTGTTTTATACAGTTCCAGAGCATTGTTTGCAATTATTCACTATGTTTGAGTCCATTCATGGTTTTATGATTTCAACATGTCTGTGAACAGTGTGTCTTTTTTCATTGTTTATTCTGCAAATCATTTTTTTCTTCTGGTTAATAAGATGACATTTTAGAAAGCAAATGTGAAAGCGTCAGTGACTTACTGACATATCTGCACCCAGTGACAACGTTCTCTGAATCACGTAAAGAAACCCACCATCGCACAGTAAATAAACACAATGGTCATTATTCGTGGTAAATTCAACCAGAGTTCTTGAAATGATGTAAGCTTGAAGCAGTAAATTTCTTTTGCAGCCAGACCACATCCTTTCAGCTCAACATAAGTTGTGCGTTACAGCTATGATCAAGGTTTCAGTGCATTCAGCATCTGATAAGGAGAGGTAAGAAGAAATGTTCTGCCCGAGAGATTTCAGTCTTTTCATCACATGTGTGATTCTCTTCATCATCCAGTCTGGTGAGCAGTGTTTTCTCTTGAATTTGCTTTTTGCTCCATTATGTAAACATGCACAATGCAAACTCACATTACTGAGGTCTTTCAGTCTTACAAAGCAGTTTGTTCAGATGCAGTGTGCTTCTTTCTTTTGCTCATCTGTTCTTGACTTCAACATCCCGTGACTGGACATTTTTATTTTGTTTTAGGTCATGGTTCTGAGATTATTGGAGGGAAAGAAGTCAAGCCACACTCGCTGCCTTTTATGGCTCTGCTGGAGCGTGATGGACCAATGTGTGGAGGAATATTAATTGATCCAACATGGGTCCTGACTGCTGCTCACTGTCCGAAGTAGGAAACGAAATCGTACTTTTATTACAATTTTCAAGCTTTAAAACGTTAAAATGCAATTTAATAGAATTGTTTTGTGTATATGCCAGTCAACAATATATTTATTATTCTGATGCTTATGGACTTTATTTACAAAAGATAAAATTTTTGCCGCATCTTGCTTTCATTATGGAAACACACACACACATTCAGTATATCTACCTTTTAAATAAACAGTTGATCCTCTCTTACTGAACTATCAGACCTTTTTAAAAAAGACACACACACATACACATGCAAACACACACTGAGTTACAGAATTATGACAGATTTTCTGATGACATCATATTTACTCTGTTTGGCTTATGTGACCAGTGTGTCTACAGTATTATAGATGAAAGATATAGAAACTGTAGAGCTAATGTCCATACTTTGAGGTTTATTTTTTATCAACAGCATAGTATTAAACAATCTCATTTTACA